TTGTGGGCCCCCCCCCCCCCCCCCCCCATTTCTTTTATAAATATATTGCATCCCTGAATCTCCTATATCTTTTCCGTGCACTGCTGCGTGACCCTCATGTGTCCAAGCTGAGAGTGTGAGATTGATTTGTATCACACAAGTTCATGCACAGTTTTACGAGTGTGTTTGCTTGTGCGGTCCAAGAGGCATCTTTGCCTCCACCTTCCCTGTTACTGAGGCTCACTCATTGGAGCCTATTTGAATCTACATCTGGAAATAAACATTTGCTATTGACAAAAGGCTTATTAAATACTGTTTTGTGTTTTTGTTTTAATTGGGGATGAGATCACTCCATGCTGTTCACTTGAAACAAATCATTTTCAACCCTAATTATGTGATTTAGTACAAAAAAATAATATATATATATATAAAGAAATGCAGTGGATTTCTACTTATAAAGCTCTTTTTAAATGAGTTGTTTTTCAGACATAAATCAGACATCCTTCAATATAAATTAAGGTTTATTTACAGTGTTGTAGCACAAAACTTACATTAAAATGCTTGATTGATTTTAAAGTGCCCAGATTTAGATTTACTTAGTTTTATGAACCATTTATAATACCAGTCAAGTTTAATGTGAAACCGCTTATTTTTAGCTTTAAATGGCAAAATATATAAGTACACATTGCAACTAGGTAAAAATTGGTGACCTAAAACACACGTCACATTGAATAAAAACCACATATCTCAGATTTAAAACGAAGTTCTGATCTCATCAATTGCCATGTGTTCGTTGACCTGTGCATTTGTTTCTTCAAAGGTGGATTAAAACATGACAATTAACTTCATATAAAGTGTTCAGCAAACATGCAAAATGGTATTGTCCACTTCATCATAATCAACACTCAAATATTCACTCTAATTCTTCTTGTAGTTGCTATGGTTATTCTTTGATACCTTGCAGAAGCTTCAGAAGATGGCCCTCCAAGACCTGTTGGACTGGGAGACAACATAAGGAATTACAATAACAGTTGAGCCCAACACAACACCGGTATAATAGTCTCAAGTTTAATTGCTTCAACTTAATAAAATAGTCGTCACAGGTGGTAATCATGTTATAGCTACCATTTCGGTGTCCCATCGCCACAGCCATGTCCATAGCATTGAACCCAGAGTCAGACTCCATGGTTGGGTCAGCTCCACTCTCTGTCCAGTGATCAGAAATAATTTGAACAAAAATACCTAAACTCTGCATTGCAATGAAATAAGTTCAAAGTAAGCCTTTTACCTAAAAGGATTTCCACACAGCGAACATAATTGCCATGCACTGCATAGAGTAACGGTGCTCCACCATTCTGGAAAAACACAAGCACTGCCTTAGGTGCAAATCAGTTTTTTGCTTAAACATTGATTCTGGTTACTACACCCCAGAATGCAAGATTAAAGTCATGGTGAGAAGAATATTCACACCATATAACAATACTAGGAAACTCGACAAACCTGTCATATCCATTTGTATTGCTATAAAACTACCAGCATATTTTCATAAAGGTTACTAACACAGTTATCATTCACAGGTCATAGCTTTAGATGTATTCAGGAATCGAATCAATAATGTGACTGCTTACCCAATCGTACTCATTGACATCAACTCCACAGTCGATAAGCATTCTGACAATATCGGTGTACCCTTTACTGCAGGCCAGTGACAGTGCACTCTCCCTTCCCTTGGCCAAGAGATGAGGATCTGCACTCTGAAAGGAAAGAGCTGTGAGTATCTGGAGATCCAGCTATAGAATTTTAATTCTGCTTTGTGTGTCAGGTGGTTCTTCAAAGCCTTTTAGCTAAATTCTCAAAAGAATGAAAGAGGTGGCAGAATAAAGAATCTAGAACTGTAAGCTCGTGGAATGAAGATGAATGCTAACCAATAGCTTTGTGCAGGTATATTTGGACTACAGTTAAGAAATGATGTAGTGAGTGTGTATGATGCGCTCACACTCTGCAACAGGAACTCCACCACTGCGATCTGTCCATGAGCTGCCGCCCACATCAGTGGGGTGAATCCCTCCTCATCCTGCAGGTTTATTACAGACTCTAATTCAAAGTGAAACATGAAGGAAAAGTCAAGTCCTCATTTAGCACAATTTTAGACATAGCTATATAGTTAAAAATGACACTACTGTTTAAAAGTCTGGGGTCAGTCAAGTGTTTTAGTTTTGTTTTTGAAATGAATGAATACTAACACAGTTGTGATGCGCAACTGTTTTCAACGTTGCTAATAAAGAAAAAGTTTCTCGAGCACCTAATCAGCATATTAGAAAGATTTCTAAAGAATCACATGACATCGAAGTGGCTAATGAAAATTCAGCTATCAGTACTTTTAAAATAGAAAACATATTTTAAATCATAATATTTCATAGCATTACTGTTTTTTTTTTGTACCAAATAACTGCAGCATTGGTGAGCATAAGAAACTTTAAAAACATTTACAACCCCAAATTTGAGCAGTAGTGTATGTAAGACCAAATTGCTTCACACCACATGAATTTTACAAAAAAACTAGCCTTGTTCTATTCGACTGGCTAAGAACACCATCTCTCCTTGTGCCGCCAACTGATGTATAGACAGTGCTAGAAAATAAAAAATAAACAATGGTTATAGTTTTAAAGATTAGGTTGACATATCTTGCCGAATGAGAAATAAGAAGACTTACAGTGAACGAGCAGTGGTGTGGATGAGACCTCATTTCCACGGTGTTTGTTGGTGAGCGTGGTGGACTGCTTTATCGGAGAGAAGTGTTTGGTGGTTGATGGCGTGTAAACATGCCTAACCTGAATACCAGGTGAGGGAGATGTTTGAATATTACACTCCGCTGTAAAGAGAGACAAAACAGAGACGGGATATTTTAAAGAATTTCCTAACAATTATATTCACTCAAAAGAAGGCTGTTTTGCTCCAATCATTTGCTTTACCTTTAAATAACACAGAGGCCACCTCCAGATCAGAGTTCACCTGGTCCTGGATATTTTTACTATCTTCCTCGTTCAGTGACTTCACAAAGCGCGAACACACGTTCATGTCAAAGCGGTTGGGTAATATAAACTTTATGCCCATGGCGTTCTGCGAGTTGACATCCTCTGCTGAGCCAATGCTGACTGACGGCTCCACCTTGATGCTGGTCACCTCTGGTAATGGGCACAAACCCTCCATCTCCTCTGATGCCATTGGCCTCTCAGGATCTGGGATATCCCAAAAGAAGCTACTACAGCCTTTTCCTTAAATAGAATCAAACCCTTACAGTAAGTGGATGATGTTTAGGTCCCATGCAGAATGAAGCTTTTGTACCTGGTATATTTAGAGAGAATTTTACACTAGCTGAAATATGTGAACAATATGATTAATTTGATTTAAAACAATATAGCTCATATGAACAACTGTAACTCGTATGGTTACTTTGTTAAATAATTTGAAAGGCTGACATTTTGTTGACTTTTGTGCCTCAGTTTGGTTCTATAACCTCGCAACCATCACTAACAGCAATACTATAAACTCATAGATGACGACTCCATGAATACTATTATAGTATTATAACACATTTTGTGCTGGAAATTAAACCATGCAGGTTTGAAAAAGCCCTTTAATCCTGCACAATGCATAATCTCACATGCCCGACAAATGAATGCGTTTAATGTCAGCATGACCAAAACAAGGTTAGCCAACCAGCTAACGACGGTTATAGGTTGCACTATATTAACAATAAATAGGAAGTGAACATACTGTACTCGTACTTCTTAATCCCAGCACATGCATTTCCTGAGTTAAAACACAGACAGAATACGAGAGCGCATCGGGTTAGCCTAACGTGTGCATTTTGGAGCATAGCTTGATTTCTAAAGCAGGATTAACGGGCTGAGGCCATTACCTTTTTTTTTTTTTTTAAGTGTTAAACCTGCATTATTGAATTTTTTTTACCACAAATGTAAACCGTCGTCTATTTTAAATAGTGCAATCATATATACCTACCGAGTTATTAATATCGTTTGTTTTGTTCTTGAGGTTGAGTGTAAATAAAGTTTTTTCGAATGCAGAGAGGGTGGAGTCAAATGTGTTCATCTGTCTACACTTGGATGTGTAAATCCATGCTGTGCATTGTATCAAAGTCCCTTAGTCTTTGATTGTTGTAATTACATGGTAAGATGTGATTGTCACTGCTATTTCTGCAGCTATCGCTATTAGCATGGCTATAAATGTTTTCCACACAATAAATATATTAAAGGGGTCATATGATGCTGCTAAAAAGAACATTATTTTGTGTATTTGGTGTAATGAAATGTGTTTATGCGGTTTAAAGTGAAAAAAAAACACATTATTTTCCACACACTGTACATTATTGTTTCTCCTCTATGCTCCGCCTTTCTGAAACGCATCGATTTTTACAAAGCTCATCGGTCTGAAAAGCGAGGTGTGCTCTGATTGGCCAGCTATCCAGTGTGTTGTGATTGGCCGAATACCTCAAGCGTGAGACGGAAATGTTACGCCCCCTACCATACTGTTGATGCCGTGTCCGGCGGAGCATCACTTTCACAACGAAGCACACAGTGTCTTCAGGACATGGTGGCAGCGGCAACAAAACGGCGAGAATAAAAGTTACGCCTTCTTTCTTTGTGTGAACATTTGGTCGGCATTATGCAAATCTTCCCACATAGTGAGGTAGATATGTGGGGTCGTGTTCGAACGAGCCGTTTTAGGTAGGTGTGGCTGACTCTGAACTTTTATAAAGAATATCTCTTTGGATTTGAGACTTTAGTCTTTGCAAATTTACAGATCTTCTTTATGCACCAAGAGCTTGTAACACTCCAAAGACAAAGGAAAAAATTTAACTGCATCATATGACCCCTTTAATATTTCATATACATTTTTTATTTTACACTTTATTTTGGTCATAATAGTAAATTTAAGCTTCTGATCTCTATTATTTTCATAATGAAAGTCTGGGTTTTGGACAAGGGTAAAACAGCACTCTATAATAATATAATCTAAAGATAAAGGGCAATTAATGAAGCTGAAAAAAATAAAGCATGTGAGGGAATTAAAAGTTTTCAGTGTGACCTTCATATAAAAAAACCTTCAAGAAACACCCTGCTAACACCCTACCTTGTTACTGTAACAAAACGGTCCTTCTTCCAAAACTTAGCTTTAATTCAGGATAATTAGGCCATTTTTTACCATTCATCTCAATGGCAAAAAGTTATCTTTAATGGTTTGAAACTGCAATGACAACACAGGTTCTACATTCCTTGCGTTTATCCAACTATTTACATTGGCAAGATTTTTTAATTTATTTTTTTCCATTTGTTTTTAATTAATTTTATTTAATTTTTTGTTATATGAGTGATGTGTATTTTTGGAGTCTGAAGCAATTTTGCATGACATCTGTGATTTTTTTTGAGTATGTGTGAGCATGAGTTCTTGTCATTTATTACAAAATATTTGTGTAATTTTGGAATTAGTGGTCACTGGATATGTAATCCTCTATCAAAGCCATTCTCAGAACCGAGTGGAGCAATGCCTAAATATTTATGTAAAATCTGGTCCAAACAACTGAAAAGAAAATAAAGTAGACTAGAGTCTGGCCCACTGCAAACCATTGCAAAAACATCCAGATAATAATAACATTTCCATTCTCCACTTGGGTAGAACTGAAATGTTCAGTGCAATTTGATCAGACAGCTGCATTTCTCACTGTAGTATGTATGGAAATTTATGAATGGAAAACATTAATTTTTTTCATAGAAAGAAGAAAGCAGTTCAACTTCAATGTTTTATCTTCACTATCCAGAAAGCCTGTGCTTTTGAAGGTTATGGCATTTTTCATACATCATAGCCACTATGTGATTTTCTATTCCTCTATCGGCTCTGCAATCATGCAGATATTGCTAGTTTTTCCTGGTTGCACAATGCTAATCAGATTATATGGGATAGGCTACTTAATATTTCTACACAACCTGTCAAAGTTCTGCGTTAGCAGCCTCTGCTCCATTCACTTTTGTGTTCTCACTAACTCTCTAGTGCACTGTTTGTACAGACCCCTGTGTAAATGAAGGAATTTATGCCAGTGATTGAAACAGCCACGATTACCAGCCTTCAACCCCAATCTTTAACTACACATCGCAAATGGAAATGCTTTTGAGGTCAATTAATCACTGTGTTCATTGTCAAAGTACTTTATAAATAGTAAATTAAATAACAAAAAAAATTATAAATTGCCTTTCTATTGTCTGTCTTTTATCATCCTCTATGTAAAGTTCACTGTTTCTGTGTAGGAGAATTGTAGACAGAAAACTTTAGGTCACATTTGAGAGAGCAGTGACCCCTTTGGTAATAGCATGGTCACAACCAGATCCTAATGTTCTTAAGAATTACTGCAAAACTGTTGAAGTGTTAGTTGTTGTCAGGCCTTTTGTTTTGTACATAGTAATGGACTATTTTTTCCTTGTGCATGCTTAAAGAAAATTAAATATTTAAGATATGTAAACGTAAACAATTTCAATGTCCCTGCTTGAGCTGTGTGCAGAGAGCTTTTCTGCGAGAAGCTGATCTGAAGGATCTAATTCAGCTGCTTGCTGTTTTTGCTTGACTCTGACCACTCGTGGTTCAAGGCTTTAACTCTGTGTTTGTTTTGAGTTGACTGTGAAACTAATTCACACACATGGCTCTAAAGCTCCAAAGTGGAGATTTCTTAACTGCACTATTAAGGACTTTGCGGGATGAGGCAGCATTTTAAGTTCTTGTTTAGGACTTAGCCAGCTTATGTTCTACTAATCTTTTTTTTTTTTTTGGCACTGGAAGGCCTACTTTGGTCAAAACTAAATTTCATCCCAATCCCTACTAAATCATATTCTAGATATTAGCAATGATATTCATAAAGGCTATTTTAAGTTACTGAACCACACTCAGTTAAGTAGCATGGAGATTATCTTGATTGTTTGTTTACTGCATGTGCAAAACACCAAATCTCCAAAGAAGATGCACTTGCCCTATATATGAAAATGCCAAGGCTATACTGTCTATATAACAGCTTGAATAGAGGAATTCCAGAGCATAATTGGACTTGTTTCAATAATTACCAAAAACAAAATAATAATGCTGATTCAGCCAGTGGATTACAAAATCTTAAGTATTTATGATCTTGGACAAATAAGAAAGGGTGAATTTGCATTGTTTGAGTTACAGCACTTAACAGAATAATCAAACTCTGTTTTATATGCCGGATAGGATTAGAAGTGATTGAAGAATTTGATTAATCCATGTAAAAAATGAAAAAAACTTCCAACACAAACACACATAATGCAGCATTTGTTGAAAACTTTTGTTGAACCTTAGAGGACATTAATAGTTAAAAAATTAGGCTATATAGGCACTGACAATATAAATGGAGGGTGGTTTGAAAGTATGCAGCAATTTTGTAGCTGCTTAGTGTAGACCATTATTAAGATTAACAAGTTTCATGACTAGGGTCAAAAATTCTGCTCAAAAATACATGTAAGTTTGTCCACTACCACTAGTTTGTCTGAAATCATTTTTATTTCCTAATTTATATATAAATAGCTCTTGACTGTGACATAGTCAGCTTTTGATGTTTCTGGTAAAAAAAAAATGTCTTCAACTTTTGTTTCTTATATGTATAAAGTATTCTCTATATCAGCATGTGGGGGAAAAACATCTTGACAACATATTTATGCACTGCACGTGAGCACTTGAATTTTGGTTATTTATTATCATTATTATTTTCTAAATCTGTGTTTTTAATGACATAATTAGGCCCTGTGGAAGCCAAGAACATGTTCACCAAATAAGAAAAAAATGCAGTTATAATTGAGATATAAAGTTGAATTTCTGACATTAAAAGTCATAATTGACATTAAAAAGTATTACAAAAAGTCACGAAGTGTGATGTAATTGTGAATTGGTAAAAGACAGCATTGGTTTCCCAGCGAGTTGCATAATGATGACAGAAGTATTACACAGAAATAAATGATCACAACAGTAAAAGATTAAAATTTAACACACATTTTTTAATGTGATTTTTTTGTGTGATTTTATCTTAATTGTAACTTTTTTTGGAACAATAAAAAATAACATTAGTAAATGTGTGATATGAAAGTGTTATGTTTTCTAAGCAAAAGTGGGAAAAAAAGTTTCATTAAAATATGATATTTATGTGTTATAGTTGAAAATGATCTCCTATTTTCACTGATCCAGAGAATTCTTCTTTGTACAGTTCTCCAGTTCAGTGACTTCTGATGGAGTTTGGTAGTTGAACAGTTTTAAGGAAGTGCTGTGAAATGTAGCTTGGTAATTGTGTTCACTGCTGTGCCAATGGAGGGCTCAGACCAGCCAGAGCGAGAGATTGTTGCCTGACTGAAAGGCCACTGAGAGTGCAGTTGTTGTTACACGGAATGAGTAGGCTCTTGTGTTCCCAGAGATCATGTTTTTGGACACCTGGGTCAAATTTGGACTTAGGTCTAAACTTGGATTTAAACTTTCAGATACACATCTACAATAGATAACATCCAAAGAATACACACTACAACAGTTTTCAGCCTGTTGATTTATTTTTGCAGATATAATGTTGGCTGTGCACTTGCCAGTTTGACCTGAATAGTTGTATTATTTTGTTGTTTTTATTTTACCATAGTAAACTGTCATTTTGTCTTATATTGTCAAACATAAATAATTAGATGATAGTAGCCTATACTGTTTGGGAACTGACTGACTTACAAAATGTCCATTTCTCAATTTTTTTGTCAACTCCCTTCCTTTATTCGTCTCTGTGTGTTCTGGGATGTGAGAACAGGAGCTTGATGGGAGATTGGGGATCTGTCATTCAGGGCTGATGGTGTGACTAAATCAGGAGCCAAAGGGGGGCAGCAGTGGGAGAATTGCCTGTTGAATATAGGCCGATAACGTGAGACCCTGAACACCCTTGCATGTTCTTCCAGTCAATAGGATTTCTCCTTTATTCAGAATTCGTGCTGGAGCTTTTGTGGCCGGTCTTTTTTGGGTTCCCCTGCTGTTCTTCACAGCGAGGATGTGGACCATGGCGTGATCCCACCTCCCTCATAGAGTGAGGGAGTCAGACGGAAAGATTGTGATTGGGGGACTGTTGCTGTTGTTTTTTATTTGTTTGTTGGTGTTGTTTGTGCATTTGCTCATGAGAGAGATCAGAGGGTTAAAGGCACTTTTTGGTTCACAGCCCAGCTCCAATCCGCAGGAAGGATGGTGGTTTGCTCGGTGGGAGATTTCTTCCCTCCCACCTCATGCAGTGACTGTCTGGTTGCATTAATGTTGACTGTTAATTTTCAAGTGAGGCCAAAATCGTATAACCAATCAAAACGTGGCTTATTTTCATTTTATGTCAAACTACTCATACATTCTCTTAACTGTTCATACCTTCGCTCTCTTCTCATTTGTGACTACGTTAAAGTCCCCATGAAATCAAAATTAAAGTTTTTGGGTGTTAGTATCAATATGTTGGTCTTAAGGTTATCTATAAGGCAGTGTGCTCCAAAACAGTGACAAAATTCGCATTTAGAAGCTTGCAGTTCGTCACTTCTGCCAAAACGGCTCAACGATTTTTTTGACGTCAGATCGTACTTCAGCTTCTCATCAAACTTTCTGTCCAATCAAATGCTCTCTAGAATCCGAAGCGCCCGCCCCCTACACTATAAAATAGATGCTGAAGCCGCGGCTGAAATCGGTCACTTGTCCACAGAATTAGTATTTTCTGTACAGTGAATGGCACGTAGTGCACTATATAGGGGACAGGGAACGATTCAAACAGTGTAAATATGCTTTCCATTGAGGAAAAAAATTTCGCACTGTGTCACGCTAACCACCGCACCGCACACACTCTGCTCTGGTCCAGAGACACGATAGCACGGAGCGGATCACATGCGCGAGTCAGCGCAGACCACAAAATGTATCGGAGCTATTTGAATTCTACACAGAATGCTATATTTTATAGCAATATGGATGAGATAGTGGCTGGCATACCCTGTCAAATGCGGCTTTACGGAGCTCAACGGCTCTGAACGGCTTTAGCCCAAGCTGTGATATAAACGAACGCTATTGGCTATTTTAAAAGGGGGCGGGGCTGCTTGATACGTCCCACCCTGCCTTCCCGTTTCAGTTAAAATGACCTCAACACATAGAGTAACACTGCTTGCATTTCAGGGGACCTTTAAAATCACATTTTACGTCACTACAAGGTTGCCAACTCACGCTTCCAGACTCTGTCTCACGCCCATGTAAATCTCACGCCAAACTGGCAACTCTGCTTGTGATATGAAACACAAAGTCTCAGCTTTCAAATATTGTAAGTTTGAATACGAAATTCAAACAATAAATACAGATGTGGCGCAATTCGTTGTAGCGCCTCAGTTAAAGCCAGAGCCATTGAAAAACAGTTGCGACATGACTCTTTGATCTCGCCGGCGTCGCCGCTACGCGGTCACGTGGTTCATTAGCGCGCAATAGTTCCAAACAAACCAGCGCTGTCGGATGAATGGGTTTAAGCAAGATCGACGACAACAGCTTCACTACACAGGTCTTTGCAGCAACTTTTGGTAAGCATTACAGCATATTATCATGCATTGATTATTATTTCGATGACATTTACTGTATCATTTTATTCTGGAGAGGCAACATTAATATGTTTTTCTTGTATTTAAGCTTCAGGAATTTCTTTCTTATAATGTGACCATACACCTTAACTATGTTTTTAGTTAAAAAAAAATTCTATATTTTAATTTAATAATATTTATTTAATATTTTGAGGAGATATTTTGGTACTAAATACTATTTGTGCAATAATTATGGTCCATTAATGACCATTTAAAATATTACAAATATTATTAAACTATTACTTATTTTACAATTTGTGTAGTATTTAAGGTTAAAATTGAATAAATGGTTTTAAATTCCAATGCAAAGAGGCAAATTAGAGTCATTTTGTGGTCAGAAAAAAACCCATTTTCATTTGTAATGCCATGTTTTACCCACTAGGTACCCGTATGGCTCTTTAATAAATATACATGTATCTATTTCTCAAAAGAGTATTGCAGGTCATACCTGCTTACTTATTCTTAAGTTTTGCATTTAAATAAATATTTAGACGTGATTAAACAATTTTTTTAAAATCCGAAATTAATAACTTACATCCTTTTTTAATGTTTATTGATACTCGTATAAGTATACACGCAAGTGAATATTAATGGATGCAAGCAAATATTGAATCTAAGAATAGAACAGTTTAAAATGGTGCTGAAAAAGGCATTCAACTGCATTCAACAAAAGATTTGTATCCCCTTATATGTAAACATATGAACTGATATTGAATCGAGATCGAACAAAATCTCACCCCAAGCTGAACTTAAAAGTTGGCAGCCCACTACAGTCAGTTATCTATGCTTAGTTGATTTGTGAGATTTTTGTCTGTAGTAGTAAAAAGTAAGGTAGAATCCTGTCAAAGAAAGTTGTTTGAGTAAATAAATGAAAGAATTGGACATTTGTAGGGTTGTAGGTTAAAAGTTCCCCTTACTGCCTTTATATGTACTTATATTTACATCTCACACAAATTTGTGTTGCTTCATCAGTATTTAATAAAACAAAATAAATAAAATAAAACACCCTTTGGGACCTGTTATGGGCTAAAAGTCACTATTGATTAGTTCAGAACAGCATAGTAGCATACCACTCTACTATTTCCACCTTAAAATGATATGGTAAAAATAGTCAAAGTAGTATGCTAGTTTGCGGTTCTGAATTCATTACGTCTCTGCGTCTTCACTCAGTGCTACGGATGCAGTGTGCAGTGATGTCCAGAAGATGGCAGTTTACACTCATATTACTGAAACTCACAATTAGCTAGACGCTAGAGCATAACAGGAGGTTTTAAAAACTGGCGCATTAATAAAGTAATAATAAAAAAAACGTTTTTCAATTCAGCACAATAAATACGCAGACATGTTGTACGATGAATTACTTTTTTGTTATTTCTTTTCTGTGGTTTTGTTTGCCTTGAAATAATCACAGCATTGAGAAACATTTTTTTTGCAGGTTAGATTAGACAGAGAAATCAGCCAGAGGTTCACAGAGAAAAAGGAAAAATTAACAAAACTCGGACAGACGCCTAAAAACAATTGTCCTCCAAAAATATGAATTTATTCGCTCCTTCATTATAAACATTAGGGGGCACCACATATATTTTGACTGTTTCATTTATTCATGTTACGACACAAAATAATGTTATTACCTATTAGAATCCTGCTTTCTGTTTACTATCTCAATTATGCCAAAAATTCACAAGAATAATGAATGGCATGACTTGCACACAGATTCATACAGTATTTTTCAGACTCATTAAACATCTCCAACCAGCTTGCCACTGATCAACCATTAGGTGGCACTCTATTTATATATGATTGAAGCACAGACTCTGGTGGGGTTTCTGGTAAAATTCTGTGATCTTTGGACTCAGTCCAGCCTGTTGGAGAACAGACAGGAAGGGTGGGCACACTGATTGACTTCCTCTCCATTTCCTGTTTAATTGCCAGGGGCACTTTGTGTAAACCGATCCTCTGACTTTAAGAGTGACACATCTTGACATGTCTCTTTATCTATACCGGCCAGGCACAGTAGGTGTTAGATGATTTAGGATTTAATAGTGATATGGTTGTATACCCTGTTTCACAAGCATGTTAACAGGATTTTTGTTATTTAACATGGATAATATCTGGCTTAAACAGAGAGGTTACTTTCAGCTGTGCTCTCTATCACTCAGGGTTGATCCTAAAATAGCATGTAAAAGAATAGAACCTAATAGCCTTTGTTACATATTATTTTATGTAGGACACTTTTTGCCTCTGCAGGTCTGAAAATAATCATTTAAAATACATTAAAATGTACAAATGTATTGTCATCTAACTGGCCAAAACCTGATTATAAGGAGTATACTGTTTCAAAAGATTATTACTCTTAGCAGCTTTATACTGTATGTTAAAATAATAACTAAATACGGCGCCTAGACACCAATTTTACACTGTGTTTGAAACAAGTCTGAACATGATGAATACAAGTAAGGATTAACAAGGCCTGGAGTCCTCTAGTCTAGGTAAACCAGCCTGACAGTGTATGGTCCCTAAACACGTGACTGTGCTGTTGTAGTTCTCTCGCTCTGCTCATTGAACTTACAAGTCCTACTATGACGAAGGTTTAGCTCTTGAATATTAATTCAGTAATACTGACGTTGCTTGGTTACCTTTTCTGCGGTGTTCGGTCAAGTAGCCTACTTAATATTCATAAGGAAACCCTTCACCGTAGTAGGATTGGTTAACGTGCTCGTTGAGGGGCAGGGCTATGATCACACACACGGCGTTGAAGAGAGTGAGCACCGGTGGCGCATCCACAACCGCTGTGTCCATTCAAAACAGTCGGCATTGTACAAGTGCAAGTCACGCACACGGATGTACTGGCCTTGAGGCAGTCAGGATACTTTGCACAAGCAGTTTGAAAGCATTACATTTGGAAGTTGAAGGGATTACACTTGTATGGAGTGAGGTAAGAGCTCTGTTGTCGCATGTCTTGTACAGGTGCGGACGCACTTTTGATAAAGTGCTGGCCTTCGAGTAATATAGATGTTTTGGAATTGTGCCGGGAAAAAGGAAGCTCCAGTGAAAGCTGTCATTGTTTGTAGTCAGTTGACAGTCGCAGCTATGGGAACTGGAGCCACGGTAAAAATGTTATCAGTATTTTAGCAACATCCTTGTTTACGTCAAGTTAATCTATCTAAACCATTTCTGTCATTTGTGCTCGATTTTATTTACAGTGGTGAAAAAAATGTAATGCATTTATCAGTATAGGTTGTAACTTTGACACCACTTGTCATGTAAATACTTTAACCCGCTTGCCATAACCAGATCAAGACAATATTCTGATTTAGAAATCTTAATTTTGGATAATGTAAAAAATGAAATATCCACAGTAAATGAATATATGAGTATGTGAATATATAATTAATGTCCAAACTGTGTTTGTGAATGGTTAAACTAAAACAATTTGGGAGCAAGAAGACTCTTTCTTTCTTTCTTTCTTTCTTTCTTTTAGCTAACATTAAAAAGAAGTGTCTCATAACAGTGGAAACAATTTGGAAATTGTGTGGGGCAGTTGTTCTGCAAAACATCAATTTGCATGCAATATTTATACCCTATGTTTACTTGGAGCCCTGCGTTTACTCTAACACAAACCCTACTCGTATCTTTAACTTTAACCTGTGTGAATGTGAATTAGTGCATACAAGGAAGAAGACCCTTAAGATAAACTTTCTACCCTGACTAAGCAGTTACACCGTTTTATGGTGGTATAACATTGTGACAGCACTATATTACTCATCGCTAAACAGACACAAGTTAGTTGTGTCCATGTAATTGAAACTTTATTATGATTGTGGCCATCTAGCTAGCAGAGCTGTCATCAAAAGTGTTTTAAGCACTTGGTTGTACAATGTTGAGGTTGCAGCCATGAATATGTTGATATAATTTTAGATACACACTTGAGGCCATTGGATGCATCAGAGCCAAACTGGAGGATGCAGAGAGAAGAGGGGGTAAAGGCATTGTGTCCTGGTAATCAGGAGTGATTTTGACTTCCTCCTTCCCCTGTTGTATCCTGCATGAATGGCATGGCCTGAGAGAGTCCCAGCCCTCACTTTCAGGCCAGAGAAAGAGAAATAGGAGGGTCTGGCATGAAAGGCACTTTGAAGTGCGCTCCTCATCAGTCTTTGTCTCTCTTCTTTGCTCTGTTGAATACTGAGCAAACCGAAGCAACAAAAGAATGCTTCACAGGCCTATAGGATAGCTAGCGAATATCCCACGAGACTAATGTTAGCCTAGTCACATTTTAGGCTTTCTTACAGAAAATGTTGTTTTACATGAATTTTCCAAGTTGAATATAAGTTAAGCTCAATCAACAATGTTTGTGGCCTATAATGTTGACTACCATGAATAATTTCATCCATCGTTTTGTTAATATGGTGGGGTATATTGTAGTATCGTAAAAGCACTTACATTATTCTTTTAAAGCTTAAACTCTCTTAAAAGCTGGGTTTTTTTTTCATATTTTTTCAATAATCTATGTCTTACGACTATATTATTAAAACGATACATTTTATTGGCTTTTATTGGCCCAGTTCACTTCCATTGTACATGCCTTATTGTAAACCAAGTTTATTTATTTTTTTTATTTTGAGGAACAAACTTGTAGCTACCATGGAATATTACATTATTACTAAATAATAATACATTTGATAGATGTTATGTATGTATGATGTTTTATATAAATGATAGATCCTATGTATGATATTTTATGTTATTAAATAACTTTTTCAAGAATATGCAATAGAGCATTGCCATCCTGAACCATTGTTATTTTAGTATTATTTGTATACTTTTTTATATAGCTTTTTTATATTTTAGTTAAAGTTTTAGTAATTTTGTAATGTGCTTTTGTAATATTTATTCATTATTACTACAGCTTTATTTTAATTCCAGTTTAATTATCAGTAAATAAGTACTTCAACCTTTTTAAGTGTAATTATATCTAATATATATTATTTCAGCTTTATTTCAATTAAGAAAAGTTTTAGTTAAAGTGCCCCTATTATGGATTTTTGAAAATTACCTTTCATGCAGTGTAACACAGCTTAAGTGAATGAAAACATCCTGGAAAGTT